TCCCCCACTTGCCTGTGGGGGCGCTGCACAAAGAACTACTGAAAGAAACGACACAAAAACCTCTGAAGACACTTCTTCTTCTGGAAATAAAAACAAAAACGGAGTGGCATCAAGTTTTAGCAGTTTTAGGAGTTATATTTCATCATTTTTCAAAAATGGACCCAGCATGAGCAGAAGATGAGGCAGAAGACCATGGAGAATATTGTTTTTCAGACAAGGCAGCTGACGGCTCCATATAAGGTAAGAGAAATGCGTGTTTGTTTGCCCTGCGATATACTCCACTTCTTGCTTGTGGAGCGGGGCCCGGTCTGTTTACATTCACACTGCACTCGAACCGCGCTGGAGTTCTCTTCTACCGGACCGAGACCTAGGTTTTAGCCCGGGCCAGAGTTTGCCCTTTCGCTCTGTGACAGAGTTCGATGGTGCGTTCTCACCTCCGCAAACGAACCGGACTTTGTTGGAAAACGAGCTAGAGTTTGATTAAAGCGGACTAAACAGAGCTGGTGTGAATGCACCCTAATAGCCTTCATCAAAAACTCAATGGGAATGTGGAAAACATATCTACAGGCCAATTTAAAGCCAACTGCACAAGTCAGCATCAGTGTGGTATAGACAAATGTGATGCACTGTCTCGACTCCTGTTCTGCATAGGCCTGGACCCCCTCAACCAGATCATTGCAAAGCGTGGATATGGATACTGGTTCCAAAGCAGAACAATCATCAGAAATTAAAAACTTTAGCCCTGCTGCTGTTGGGAGTACCAGCTCATCTCCCTCCGGTCACTGGCGCTGTCCCCCGTCGGAAACGTTGTTGTTACCGCGGTAAACATGGAGGACGGCTGGTGAAACTAAAGATCTGCCTGGCCTAATCTACTTCCATTTCCCGGACAAGTAATGGATTATTTCCATCTTTTGCTGTGCCTTGGCGTTTCCTGGATCCTGTTGACACCTCGCTGGTACCTGTCACCGGCCTGGATGTGGGCATTCGCCCCCACCCCTCCTGCATCTCTGGGCTCCACCAGTGTGGAGTGAACCTTCAGAGCCTGAAGACTAGGGTTGGGCATCGTTTGAATTTAAACAATTCCGGTTCCAATTTCGATTCTGGTTCCCATCAATTCCCAATTATTTTTAGAAGCGGGGTTGAAAAACAAAAAAGTCACATGTTATAAATGAGCTACGGTAGTTAGCCTGAGTTTTGTCTGGATGAAATAATTTGAACTTCTATTTGAATTTTAATTCTATGAATTTTTTACTTTTTGTTAAATTTTCTATGAATTTCTCACAGGGCTATTTTCAATCAGTATAAAAATATAGAACTTATCAACTTCATTCAATATGTTATGAATTTTTTT